CTCATAGCCTTGGCCTGGACCTGTTGTGTCTGAAACTCTATGCAACACATCAGAAATACCAAGCCCCAGCACACCACAGCTCTTCTCACTTGATTGACAGGTGGGAGGAGCTTCAAGACCAATAATACACAGCATGTTCTATACAAGGGATGGGTTGGCTTCCTTTTCTGAGTGGCTGACCACCAACATGACCAATTTTATCATCACCATCACCACACACATCATTGAAAGCTGGACAAGTGGGGTTAATAATGTCCTTTATGAATCACTAGGAATGCTATTATGCCTTTGTCTACTTACAGTGTTATTAGTTGCTTTATATTTAGATTTATATAACAACACATCCAATAATATAGTAATGCATTGGCTATGAGCTCAATTCATTTCAAATAAACATATTTGTGTGGCTGTTACTTTGAAGCTTTAGTACTTACAAAAAAGAAAAGAGTAAGCATTTTTAGCAAATTGCGAACAGAAAGTAAACAAACATATCTGACCTAAATCTAATCATAGTTAGGCACTGCAATCTAAAAATCAGATCTAGATAAAGACAGAAGATACAGCAGTTGTGTACCAAAGCCACTCAGTCTGGTATCTGTATCACAGTGGTGACAATGGTATCCAAAACTACCATTTCACATGGCCAAGGGACAGCCCAGTCAATCAAAGGAGTACATGTACAAGAACGCACTTTGTCACTGGTCCTAAGTGCAAAAAAACAAGAATCATATGTCAATATAATTAAGAAGCTAAGCAGTCTGTTGCGAGCCCTTACTAGTTTATCATGGCAGATTGCCTATTGAGTGGAAGGTGTCTTTTGTACCTTGACTGTGTTAAATATCTACTTCACAAATATTTTGAAGTGTCAACATTGACAGAAGTGCTACAAGTTTGTGTTGTTAATTACACAGTACATATTTATTCAGTTATTATCTCTGTGCAAATAGCTCTTTGCATTATTGATAATTGACAATTCCTTTATTACAAGTTTTATTGACACTCCTTTGCTATCAGTCACTGAGTAACTGAGCCAATATTGACACAACTTGAAATAGAACTTTAATATTTGTAGAATAATTGGCTCTCCTGACAAAGACCCGCCTGACTAAATTTGCATAGGACTTGAATCACCCACTCTACTGACTGATCTAGTCAAACTTTGATCAAATTTATCACCTAATCAAACACTAGTGTCAACAATGCTGGCCAGGTAAAGTAGACCTGTCTTTTGGCACACTATGTCACTCTGTGTATCAAATTTAAGAATCCAGTTTTAATACCTGTGTTACCAGGAAGTGAAAAGCTGTTCAAAATTGAGGTAATCAGTTTTGAGGATTCCAGAGTTGTTTCTGGCATGGCATGCTTGATAATTCTCTCCTCATTAAGAGACTCATATTAAACCTTTGAACACTGTATCTTAATAATAAAACCAAATAATGGAAGTAATTTCTTTCAAGTCAAAAGAAAAAAAAGCTGCAAAGCTTTCTGAATTTCTCAATATTCCATAGTTCTGTGATGACATAAACAGTAATGTTTTTTATTTGAAACTTTGCAAGTTACTATTAAACTATAAAAAAGAAGCTAAAGAATACAAATTCTTTCTGAAAAGACAGTAAGCACAATGGTTGTATCGTAAGAAAATTTAATCCACCCAAACACCTTTAATTAAAAGGCCCATCAGTAAACACCCAACACATGCTTGAGATGGTTTAAGTACTGTTATTAGCATTAGTGGCTATCTTGCCTGTTCCAAAGATGGACATCAACAAATTATATGTTCTATGAGAGATTAAGTTAATATTACCTTCATGGGTCTGGAGTTCAAATTGTGTGCAGTCAAGAGTAAGCTTGTCCTTGAAAGCTTTATTACCAGTTGTAGTGTGACTAATGTGCAGGATATCTGACTGAATCCGACTTTATTATGGTGATTATCAAAATGGTATTCATATACACCTGACTCATAATCACTGAAGTGAGTATAAAAAGAAAATAAATATATAAGTACTTATTTACTTGAATCAGATAAAAAGATGCTCACCCACTTATTTGTCAGGCCCCTGCACTTATATGTTTGACACACACACACACACACACACACACACACACACACGTAGTCTAGAGGTCGCAGCTAATTTACACCAACCTGAGCTCAACTGCATGATTATGATACTTCTAACAAATGCATGCATGCAATTATCTCTGTACCTCTAATGCTGGTTTATCTACGTGACACCTGACTAATTGTGGATACAGCTGTCATCCCACCAGTACATTATTTAGTGGTATATTCCAAAGAGCAGAAGATATTAAACAGTATTAGAGCAGAAAGCAAATAAAAAACAACATGAGAAATGAAATCAAAATATTGGGAGAAAAAGATGAAGGTGCCAAGCTGACCTTGTGGGAGTAATAGTCATTACAGTAAAACAACAAAGGTATTCATGGTAAAATACATGAAGGAAAATAAACATCTGCACAATGTTTTATTATATTTTCCTTTAATCTTTTAATGCTAATACTATAGTTGCATGAGAGGGTTTACTTTGTTAACATAATTTTCATGAAAAGATAACAGATAAAACTGACTGCTTTAATTTGATGCAATAAAATTTAAATCCTTGAATTTCAAAAGGTCTGTGTTAGGTCTAGGTAGAGAGTATTAATCAGCTCTCCCTGCCTTTCTTTCCTATTAAATTTTAAGTAAATATTTCGTGTGGTTTTAATAGCTTCTAGGTCCCCTATCGAGAGCTTATCTTAATCCCTCAATCCTCTCAAGCTCCCTAATCTAGCAAGGTATCACATTTAAGCTCATTTATTATGTTTCACTCTATTGAAGCTGCTCTCTTAGCCCCCATTATCTCCCCACTAGAGCATGGGAGAGGGTTGACAGAGAGGGAGGGCTGAGAAACAAATTGTGACAACACGACTATCTCAAGTCCAGCATTGCTGGATCTCTTGTATTTGTAGCAGAGAGCAAACACTCCCTTTTATAAAGTGCTAACTAGCAAACAAATCTGACTGAGAAATTGCTCATCAAAGTGAAAAGTTCCTTCATTGTGGGCCATCATTCCTGTTCTCTTCATGACAATTATATTGATCTATCATAAGCTTCTGATTGTTAAACTGCATTCACGGGGAGCTTTGAATCCTTTTTTCTCCAACTCACAGGTTCTTTGTGAACGCCAATGTCTATTTAGATAGTCATAAAAAGCTGTGTAAATTAATCTTATCCTGTGTAAAGAATCCCCTGCAAATTTAAGCTCACTACTAATGTTTAATTTCTCATCCATTCACTGAACAAATGATTGTCCACATGGCAGCTAGCAAGATGTAATGTGCTTTATCGTTGGATGTGTAAAAGGCTCTATTGATTTTTCAGCCAAACAACAATCAGAGATGTACTTAGGAACCATACACGCTGAAGCTCCTATCAAATATGGACAAAAGCTGAGCTGATTACACGTGTTATGTCAATATGCAATGTAGCGAGCCTGCAAATATTTGGATTATGATATGTTCGCACAACCAACAAAAGGTAGACTCTCAAAGTTGATGCCCCACCAAAGTATACTGTACTCCCTTTCCTAGGATACAACACACTCTGCACAACTGCACAAACCATCACTTTTCTCTCTCTCTAATCTCTACCACTACATCAACAGGCAGATTAAGACAACCGAGTGTATACAGCAACAGAGCTATCTGAGTTGGGACAAACATTTGCTCTGCTTATCACCTCATGATGTGCTTGTGATAGTAGCATATGTTTCAAAGGTTACAAAGATAACTCTATCACACAAGTATTTGTTAGGTTGAAGCCTATGAAATCTGTCAAGGGGGTTGTATGTATACTGGCTGATGTACAGGATAGACATGTAAGCGCCCCATTGTGATTTAATATTCTCCTCCTTTGTGTGCCCCTATCATCCTTGGCATTCCAGTCATTTGTGATTCTGTTTGACAAGGATAGGCTGAGAGCATGTACAAATAATGTCAGTGGAAACAGCACAGTCACACACCTGCAGCATCAACTACTTCTCTTCTCATCCCATTGTTAAACATATAAATTATGAAGTAGCCAGCTGCTATCTCAGTGGGCTAACAGCACGATAACTGAACTGCCTAGACTCTGTATCAGAGAAAATGACACTAGATGGCAGCAGTTACTGGGTCATGCAATGGATGGCCTTACACTAGAGGGTAAATTTATATTGTTTATATTGTTCCTTTGGTCTAACTGTGGAAGTCTGTCAGGAATTAACTGAAACACACTTTTCTTATTTTAACTTAACAATTTTATCATTGAATTTAAATGGAGATTGTTTAATTTGTCATCCTAGACATAATAATTAAAGTTTGAAAAATGCCCTGCTTCCTAATTTTTTACCAATGGTTAAAGAACTAGTTCAGGAAAATGATCGGAATACTAATACCTGTTTGTAATTTATATATTACGCATCTAAAAACTAATTCTAATGTAGAAAGTGAGCTTCTTGTTTTGAACAGTATTCATGCAATGTCACTACATGGCTTCTGATCTTGACCGCAATGCTTTGTTTGTCTTGTTAGTTGTCATGTGCAGTTTAACAGGTTTCTAGCCCATCAAGTGCTTTATTCTTTTCTTGGGCAAATACCCATTAAGTGCACTTCAACATTGAAAATGTTTATATCTTATTCAGTATAAAGTTGGTATTGCAGCTAAGTTAATGCCTGCTGGGCATATGTAAATGTAATACCATTAAATATTAAAATCCATATAGGTTACGAAATGTTTCCAAAATATGTAACATCAATAGGTACATTAATCATTTACAGTAAAACCAGTCGCTAGTTTCTCATTTCAATCTCACAACATGTTTAAATTTAAATAACCTTCAACTTCATCAAACACTTTATCAAATATTAAAAAAAAACTTTTTCCCTTTTGTACCATTTTCATTCAATCTGGTATGAAAAAGAACATTTATTTATTTTTTGATATTATTTTTAAAATATCTCACCATTTTCTCCTGTGCTTCTTTCTGGTCCTGTTGGGCTGCCAGTTGCAGAGGGCCATAGAACATTCCCTTTTCTGGATCATAAGACAGGCTGATGTTCTTCATCTTGGCCATGTTGTAACCAAACTTACGTAAGCAGCAGATTCTAATCAAAGCCTGTAGAACAAAGTATCTGTTTTACATTTTATGACATGTGGTTATACAAATTTTTTTTTATCTATAATTAAAAAAAATATAATTATATAAATTTTAAATAAGATCATGGCCATACCTTATATTGCACATATTTTTAATGTGAAAAACTGGTACAGTTCAAATTAGGTAGGCTAGAGCAGTAAACATGCATACCATGGCCATACCTAATATTGCATATTTTATGTGAAAATTTACACAGCTAAAATAAAGTAGGTTAGGGCAGTAAACATGCCTTACCTTATAATACATATATTTTTAATGTGAAAATATGGAATAGTTCAAATTGAGTCGGTAAGAGCAGTAAACTTGCAGATGGGCAATTTATGCCCTTTTAATATTTGTCATAGCATTTCAAAACAAGCCAACTACTAAAAATATTCTGGCTTTTTATTTCAAAAGACACAAAACCATACTATTTTTTTAATGGTCTACCTCTTCTTTCTCAGTGATGTCCATTCTTTTCCTCACATCAAAGGCCATGGTTTTTTGTGTGCCTTTCAAGAAAGACAATCCCTGGGTGTTCAGGTCCTCCTCCAGTGGCTGTACCTGGACCCAGGTTCTTCCCTGTGCCTTCTCCACCATGCTACGGACCTCAGCATTCTCACAGATTTCTACAAAACAAGAGACCCTAACATATATATTTTCACCAAATGCAAAACATGCTCATTTTCTTTTCTTTTCTTTTTTTTTTTTTGGGGGGGGGGGGGAATATTTCTGGCCAAAGTTTTTATTGATTTCATTAAAAGCTTTATGACTAAAAGAAAATTTTGTTAAAATGCACTCATGGTTGATTTATTATGATCATGACTAGAAAACACCTGACAACTTGAAGTATTTTTTAATTTTCACAATTTTGAAACACATGATTCATAAATATTAGTGATATCTCTTCCAAATAAATGAACATAAAACACTCAATTCCCTTCCTTAAAAGAAAAGTATTTTTCTGCAACAGCTGTAGAAATAAGTATGCAAATAAGTGATACCATACACATATTTATATGGTGTTTCTTATAAAACAGGTGATTAGAATTTCTATCAAGTGAATTGCCACATTTGAACCAATTGTTGTAAAATAAATGGTTCTCTGATGTTTAAACAAATGCTTTGAATTTTCCTGAATGTATACCATGTGTTGGGAAATCATGGTATAGGGATAAATCAAAGCTACTGTTCACTTGTAAATCATTAGTCTGCTGTAGCAAATACAAAAAATCAAAGAGTACAAAAAATTCTTGCCAGAACCAAGTCAAATCTGATGGCTAATTCAGCTGTTTACTGATAAAAAAATTTAAAAAAAATCAAAATTCAAAACAAAAGCATTTACAAATGTGTACTTTGAAGAAAAAATATATAATTTAACGGACAAAGTTACACTGCATAGCATGTGTGAAGTAACTCTCTTATTGTTTACCCTACAACCTGACTGGATAGAAACATTATGTTAATTTTTACTCACCTGCTGTTGCAATATTTGTTTCAACTGGAAGCAGATTTAGTAAAACAGAGAGTCTAGACCACAAACTTTGTGAACTCTGAAACAGAAACATTCACAGTTTAAAACATTTCACATATCACATTTAAACATACTGTAAAGACAATGTCTTGATATAACATACACAAGGCATTCTAACATTTTCTGTGTATCTTAAGCATTTTACAAAACATGAAAGTGTATTCTATTCATGCACAAGCAAAAGCAATGGATATATGAAAGATTTTCCCCAACATATTAATAACAACAGGATTGTACAGAAAAGAAGACAAAGTAAAAATAAGCATACTTGTGTACAATAAAAAGCAAAGAGCATTATTTTACATATTTATAACAGCTGCACTGCACAAATTAAAGAAAGAAAGAAGATTACCTGTGCACAAGCAGTTACAATGTGTGGATGGCACTTCATCCAGTCACAGAATATTTTGATGGTGGGCAGCAATCCTTCCCTTGCTATAACATCTATCATGCGCTCTAATCTCTTTTGTTCTTCCTCATTCCTGGAATAAAAAAAAGGCAAGAATTAGTTCTCAGAGTATGTCTACATATAGGGTCCAAATTCAGACTCACTCACTCACTCTCTCNACTATTTTGGTAAGTATATTGTTGTCTCGGGGTTATAACTCACTGACTCACTCACTCACTCTCTCTCTCTCTCTCTCTCTCTCTCTCTCTCTCACACACACACACACACACACACACACACACACACACACACACACACACACACACACACACACACACACACACACACACACACACACACACACACACACACACACACACACACACACACACACACCAAGATGAAAAAAATTTGGGGTCTCCTAGTTCACAAAATTTTAGTCCAAAATGACTGTAGTAGACTTCAAAATGGGCTAAAATGCACTAAAAACACCAGTGCAATTTGGTGTCAAGACAATTACTTAAGTTTTTCAAGCACTTAGTTTTTAATCTTGAAAAAAATAAGATCAGTGACCCGAAAGAAGCTTTGCTCAGGATACGGAGAGGATGAGTGGCAGGAATTTTGCTATCTTCTTCTTTACCGTCCAAGAAATACTGACACACAGTATATCAATGAAAAGTTCATTTCATCAGCTTTTTATTTCGTTTCTTTACTTTGTTACATAATACATACAGATCCGAGAGCATCTTACAACAGAAATGATTTAATGAGGTCAATTCACATCACCATAGGGCTCTATTACTTCGGATTTCAAAGCTTCTGTAGAGTCCCATTTAGCAGCCAAACATATTTTGCAACCAGTGCCAATCACTTCTATTTGCAAATTGCAACTTAACTAGAAGAGCTCCATTTTGCAATCCATTTTTGGAAAATATTCTAAAACTATCGAGTCAACTTCTAAATGAGTACATTAAATTTTAATCGTCATTCAAATGCAGAAATATATACTTACTTGTCAATGACACTTCCTTTGTCACTCTGCACTGTCTCACTATCACTGCCATTCTCTGAAAAAGAGAAAGGGAAATCCATTAAATCTATTATTCATTTTTTAACTTGGTAACCCTTTTCAATAAAGGAACACAGATATGTATCCAATTGAAAAAAAAATCATTTTCAGATAAAGCTAATGTGCGGGAAAAAAAAGGACTGAAAGGATCATGTGTAAAAGGTATCATTTTGTTATTGTTTTTCAAATACGAAAACATTTCCAGTAATCACCTGCATTATCTTAAATCACATTAATAACAACCATGCTTGTCAACATGGATAGTTAAATTGCCCTCATATTCAAATTAAACCATGTTGAAAGAAAGAGAAAAAATCACCAGTGTCTGTGGCCAACATGCTGGTGTCTGTGTCCGTGTCTATGACAAATGCAGCCAACTTCTCTGTTATCTCTACGACATGCTTGGTTTCAGGGTCCTGATCAAAACCTGAAGCAAAAATTGATAACATTTACTAACAGTTCCAGTGAAACTTAAAATTGGTTTTAAAGTTGTAAAAGTTCCTAGATCTGTGCCGATTCTATTTTTAATCTATTCATCTTGAAATCACGACATCAAAAAACATCAAAAAATTAAAGTTAAAAATAAACTAACATCACAACCCATTAACATAGCTATACAAAATAACTTAATTCTCTTACCTGGTGGAACTCGGACTTGTTTCTTCCCCTGGGCAACTTCTTGACAGACATGTTCATCTGCGCCATTTTGAGATGCACCAAAATGTCCAAACTTCAAAGACCAAAATGGATCAGGTAAACTTGCTGATGACAGTAAAAAGTCAGAAGAAAAGTTACTTAGATAGTCTGTGACACTAGAATCTAGCATAAACTCCCCTGCTTCAGTTGCCAATGTGTAGCCATTTGTAACAGAGGTCGCTGGGTAATCATCATTTCCAGAATTTTCTCCTGTAGACACAGTCTCCTCTGGTATTACAGATTTAGCCCAGATGTCATCCTACATAAAATGTAAAATACAACAATAAAATGAAGTATTTCTAAATCTTAACACAACAACATTAATGCATTCAATACACAATTTTCAATGCCTTTATTTTTTTATGCCTAAACAAAAATATTGTGTACTTTTGTTAAACAGTTTACTGTTATAATGATTCTTTTCACATTTCATCCGCAAATGTATTATAAACGGTTGTGAATAATAAAGACAGGAAATCAGATAATTTTTCCTTTAACAGATCAGCCAACCTTGTCTGACAGTCCTTTCAAAGCAAATCCAGGAGGCAGTTCCTGGCTCTCCATCAGGTCATCATGGTCACTTTGGGAGGAACTGGAGTCCAAATACTGGAGGTCATCATCTTCATCTGAATCTGTCATCAGATCAGAGCTGTCTCCACCTTAGATTGTAATTGAATGACATGGTTAATCTGGTTAATTGTTGCTATGTATATAAATTGCATTTTACCAGAGTTATTCCTGTTCAACATTTAAAGGCAGGTTAAACATTTTGCAACTCTTTGACTGGAAATGTTTTAAAATCAGACGGATATTTCCTTGCCACTCTATTCTCTAACAGTTTTTCTTTTACTGATTTTTGTACCATAAAATATGCATCAGAATCACATAAACTAGGATAAAATACAATTTAAAAATGAAAAGAGAACTGCATTTACCTTCACTAAGGTCAGAGTCAGTGGAAACACTGTCAAGGTCGTTCTGGTCGCTGTCCCTTCTTCTCCTTCTGCGCATTTTAGCAAGTTTGCTTTTCTTATTCTGCATAAAAAAATCAATCCTCATGTAACATTTAAGAACACTATTAGCATTCATTAACTGTAGTCTATGGGCTGTGCATTAAAGCTTTTTATTATCTTTTAATGCAGACAACATGTAAAAAAATAAATATCCTTATATTCTATCAATATATTAAAGGTAAGTAAATATCCTTGTAGTTAAATGCCAAAATATTGAATTTCTTCTTACCTTTGATTTTATGTCTGTCTTATTTTCATGGTTTCCATCATCAACATTTTCTCCTGCTACGGCATTTCTCTTTTCATCTGCTAAAGGCACATCCTCCTCACTTGATGATGTAAGAATATCATCTGAAGCAAAATAATAAGCTGGTAATAAAATGAACAATAAATAATGAGAATTATCTTATACGTGAGAGGGATTATTGATAGGAAAATACTGATAACAGTCAAGATATAAAGTTCGCCGTTTTTTTCTGAAAGAGAATAATACTTAAATCTAAGCCATGTTAAAACTTTAAAGATTTCGTAGACAGACATTGGATAAATTCACTACACATGAGACAATACTTCATAGGTATTTTTCTTTAAAAAAGGAATACAATATTACTGAAGCATTATGAAAAAAATAAATAACTGTATTAATAATCAATGTGCCTTCAGATCAGATGACGTCAGACAACAATTTATGTCTTTCCACACTTTTTGATATTTTGATCTGAACTGTTGCCGAAACTATTTCAATACTCACCTTCCAATTCTAGCACTTTTCTTGGATTCTCTGCTTCATATAATGCAGTTTGGAGTCTTATTACAGCGTGGTTCAGTATATGAGAGAAGAGAGCAAGGTTGAATGCAATGGCAGCTGTCACTTGTTTTGAACCTGGACAAAAGATCACAGTACTAGCTTACACAAGTAGGGGTTGACCCAGGATGAAGTAAAGGGGGAAAGTTCATTCAAAAACTAATCAGTATCTTATAGGCCAATGCTGAAGGAATAAACCCAAAAGTATATAGCAATTTCATACCAGAAAACTCAGGGGATTCAACCAATCTGAATCTGTCCTTTCTAATGCTGCCTAAAAATCTTGGTGCAATGTGTTCAGACTTAAAAAACCTCAAAAGGTAGCTTTAAAAGATAGTGTGGTAAGTCTTCAACTCATTTATTTGCACACTGGTGTTGCACTTGCATGCCCTGTATGTTCTTAGTGCCAAAAAGTGAAAGAACTTGCTCACAAACTTTAATGATACAATGATCCACAAATGTTACTTATATCTTATCTCATTTGATTTATATACCGCTACGTACTCTTTTTCTTTCACAGAACTATTATGCAATGATAAATTCNCACCTTGAAAATGCCAAAATGTAGACAAGACGGTACTGTCCCGAAGTGCATTTTTTTCCATTTTTAACACTTTTTTAATATAAAACAAAATGAACAGTTTACTGCCATTTTTATATGATCAACCAAGAAAGTTGATGAGATGTGAAAAATATCAATAGAACAGTGTCAAATGTCCAATTTCCTCCATTCTGACATTCTGAACATAATGAATGATTGAATCTTACAAACTGCAATGATATGAGTTTATTTCCATTTTTGACACTTTATTACACAATACACGATAACAAGTTTACCATTATTTTTACATAATCAACTAACAATGTTGTAAAGATGCAGGAAATGTCAAACAAACACTTTTACGTATCTTATTAATTAAATAATGAGACTGTTAACATGCCTAAGAATTGAATCTGAAGAAATGTGAAAAAACAGCAACTACTAAAATGGTGGCCCGATCATGGCGATTTTCGAACTAGACCTGCGTTTTAGTAAGATTGATTACTCCTGTGAGTTTCATGACAACAGGCCTATTGGTTTTCTTTGAAATGTGTTAACAGTGTTGCATATATGCTGAAAAGTGAAAAAACAGCATAAATTCTACAATAATGGCCCGATCATGCTGATTTTCGAACTTGACCTGCATTTTATGAATATTCATCAGCTCTGTAAATATAAAGCCAAAAAATAAAACTGTCTTCCACTTATGGTGTTAACGCTGAAAGTGCACGGCGACGGCGACGGCGACATGAACGGCGACGACAGACGCAGGTGATAGCAATATGTACAGACACATCTGTGTCTGTACATAAAAAATTGGGGGTCTCCTAGTTCACAAAATTGTAGTCCAAAATGACTGTAGTAGACTTCAAAATGGGCTAAAATGCACTAAAAACACCAGTGCAATTTGGTGTCAAGACAATTACTTAGTTTTTCAAGCACTTAGTTTTTAATCTTGAAAAAAATAAGATCAGTGACCCTAAAGAAGCTTTGCTCAGGATACGGAGAGGAGGAGTGGCAGGAATTTTGCTATCTTCTTCTTTACCGTCCAAGAAATACTGACACACAGTATATCAATGAAAAGTTCATTTCATCAGCTTTTTATTTCGTTTCCTTACTTTGTTACATAACACACACAGATCCGAGAGCATCTTACACCAGAAATGATTTAATGAGGTCAATTCACATCACCATAGGGCTCTATTACTTCGGATTTCAAAGCTTCTGTAGAGTCCCATTTTGCAGCCAAACATATTTTGCAACCAGTGCCAATCACTTCAATTTGCAAATTGCAACTTGACTAGTAGGGCTCCATTTTGCAATCCATTTTTTGAAAATATTCTAAAACTATCGAGTCAACTTCTAAATGAGCGCATTAAATTTTAATTGTCATTCAAATGCATAAATATATACTTACTTGTCAATGACACTTCCTTTGTCACTCTGCACTGTCTCACTATCACTGCCATTCTCTGAAAAAGAGAAAGGGAAATCCATCAAATCTATTATTCATTTTTTAACTTGGTAACCCTTTTCAATAAAGGAACACAGATATGTATCCAATTGAAAAAAAAATCATTTTCAGATAAAGCTAATGTGTGGGAAAAAAAAAGGACTGAAAAGATCATGTGTAAAAGGTATCATTTTGTTATTGTTTTTCAAATATGAAAACATTTCCAGTAATCACCTGCATTATCTTAAATCACATTAATAACAACCATGCTTGTCAACATGGATAGTTAAATTGCCCTCATATTCAAATTAAACCATGTTGAAAGAAAGAGAGAAAATTACCAGTGTCTGTGGCCAACATGCTGGTGTCTGTATCCGTGTCTATGACAAATGCAGCTAACTTCTCTGTTATCTCTACGACATGCTTGGTTTCAGGGTCCTGATCAAAACCTGAAGCAAAAATCAAAAATTGATAACATTTACTAACAGTTCCAGTGAAACTTAAAATTGGTTTTAAGGTTGTAAAAGTTCCTAGATCTGTGTCGATTCTATTTTTAATCTATTCATCTTGAAATCATGACATCAAAAAACATAAAAAAATTAAAGTTAAAAATTAACTAACATCACAACCCATTAACATAGCTATACAAAATAACTTAATTCTCTTACCTGGTGGAACTCGGACTTGTTTCTTCCCCTGGGCAACTTCTTGACAGACATGTTCATCTGCGCCATTTTGAGATGCACCAAAATGTCCAAACTTCAAAGACCAAAATGGATCAGGTAAACTTGCTGATGACAGTAAAAAGTCAGAAGAAAAGTTACTTAGATAGTCTGTGACACTAGAATCTAGCATAAACTCCCCTGCTTCAGTTGCCAATGTGTAGCCATTTGGAACAGAGGTCGCTTGGTAATCATCATTTCCAGAATTTTCTCCTGTAGACACAGTCTCCTCTGGTATTACAGATTTAGCCCAAATGTCATCCTACATAAAAATGTAAAATACAACAATAAAGTGAAGTATTTCTAAATCTTAACACAACAACATTAATGCATTCAATACACAATGTTCAATGCCTTTATATTTTTATGCCTAAACAAAAATAGTGTACTTTTGTTAAACAGTTTACCGTTATAATGATTCTTTTCACATTTCATCTGCAAATGTATTATAAACGGTTGTGAACAATAAAGACAGGAAATCAGATAATTTTTCCTTTAACAGATCAGCCAACCTTGTCTGACAGTCCTTTCAAAGCAAATCCAGGGGGCAGTTCCTGGCTCTCCATCAGGTCATCATGGTCACTTTGGGAGGAACTGGAGTCCAAATACTGGAGGTCATCATCTTCATCTGAATCTGTCATCAGATCAGAGCTGTCTCCACCTTAGATTGTAATTGAATGACATGGTTAATCTGGTTAGTTGTTGCTATGTATATAAATTGCATTTTACCAGAGTTATTCCTGTTCAACTTTTAAAGGCATGACTTACAAGTTAAACATTTTGCAACTCTTTGACTGGAAATGTTTTAAAATCAGACGGATATTTCCTTGCCACTCTATTCTATAACAGTTGTTCTTTTACTGATTTTTGTACCATAAAATATGCATCAGAATCGCATAAACTAGGATAAAATACAATTTAAAAATGAAAAGAGAACTGCATTTACCTTCACTAAGGTCAGAGTCAGTGGAAACACTGTCAAGGTCGTTCTGGTCGCTGTCCCTTCTTCTCCTTCTGCGCATTTTAGCAAGTTTGCTTTTCTTATTCTGCATAAAAAAATCAATCCTCATGTAACATTTAAGAACACTATTAGCATTCATTAACTGTATGGGCTGTGCATTAAAGCTTTTTATTATCTTTTAATGCAGACAACATGTAAAAAAATAAATATCCTTATATTCTATCAATATATTAAAGGTAAGTAAATATCCTTGTAGTAAAATGCCAAAAAATTGAATTTCTTCTTACCTTTGATTTTATGTCTGTCTTATTTTCATGGTTTCCATCATCAACATTTTCTCCTGCTACGGCATTTCTCTTTTCATCTGCTAAAGGCACATCCTCCTCACTTGATGATGTAAGAATATCATCTGAAGCAAAATAATAAGCTGGTAATAAAATGAACAATAAATAATGCGAATTATCTTATACGTGAGAGGGATTATTGATAGGAAAATACTGATAACAGTCAAGATATAAAGTTCGCCGTTTTTTTCTGAAAGAGAATAATACTTAAATCTAAGCCATGTTAAAACTTTAAAGATTTCGTAGACAGACATTGGATAAATTCACTACACATGAGACAATACTTCATAGGTATTTTTCTTTAAAAAAGGAATACAATATTACTGAAGCATTATGAAAAAAATAAATAACTGTATTAATAATCAATGTGCCTTCAGATCAGATGACGTCAGACAACAATTTATGTCTTTCCACACTTTTTGATATTTTGATCTGAACTGTTGCCGAAACTATTTCAATACTCACCTTCCAATTCTAGCACTTTTCTTGGATTCTCTGCTTCATATAATGCAGTTTGGAGTCTTATTACAGCGTGGTTCAGTATATGAGAGAAGAGAGCAAGGTTGAATGCAATGGCAGCTGTCACTTGTTTTGAACCTGGAAAAAAGATCACAGTACTAGCTTACACAAGTAGGGGTTGACCCAGGATGAAGTAAAGGGGGAAAGTTCATTCAAAAACTAATCAGTATCTTATAGGCCAATGCTGAAGGAATAAACCCAAAAGTATATAGCAATTTCATACCAGAAAACTCAGGGGATTCAACCAATCTGAATCTGTCCTTTCTAATGCTGCCTAAAAATCTTGGTGCAATGTGTTCAGACTTAAAAAACCTCAAAAGGTAGCTTTAAAAGATAGTGTGGTAAGTCTTCAACTCATTTATTTGCACACTGGTGTTGCACTTGCATGCCCTGTATGTTCTTAGTGCCAAAAAGTGAAAGAACTTGCTCACAAACTTTAATGATACAATGATCCACAAATGTTACTTATATCTTATCTCATTTGATTTATATACCGCTACATACTCTTTTTCTTTCACAGAACTATTATGCAATGATAAATTAATATTAACCTGTTTGCTGCAGTTGATAAATTGATATCATTGTCATGAGGACAATCTTGAAAACCAAATCATCAGACAGGTACTGGGGTTTCTCCACATACATGTCATCTGCCATGCTGCTCTGGGGTGTATAGAACATACACAGGTTGAAGTCCTGCAGGGTGTTCTGGCAGTATTCCTGGAGTTCCTTGGGATCACTAAAAGAATGTAAATATTACTTAGAATGACAAACTCAANTATGGGCTGTGCATTAAAGCTTTTTATTATCTTTTAATGCAGACAACATGTAAAAAAATAAATATCCTTATATTCTATCAATATATTAAAGGTAAGTAAATATCCTTGTAGTTAAATGCCAAAATATTGAATTTCTTCTTACCTTTGATTTTATGTCTGTCTTATTTTCATGGTTTCCATCATCAACATTTTCTCCTGCTACGGCATTTCTCTTTTCATCTGCTAAAGGCACATCCTCCTCACTTGATGATGTAAGAATATCATCTGAAGCAAAATAATAAGCTGGTAATAAAATGAACAATAAATAATGCGAATTATCTTATACGTGAGAGGGATTATTGATAGGAAAATACTGATAACAGTCAAGATATAAAGTTCGCCGTTTTTTTCTGAAAGAGAATAATACTTAAATCTAAGCCATGTTAAAACTTTAAAGATTTCGTAGACAGACATTGGATAAATTCACTACACATGAGACAATACTTCATAGGTATTTTTCTTTAAAAAAGGAATACAATATTACTGAAGCATTATGAAAAAAATAAATAACTGTATTAATAATCAATGTGCCTTCAGATCAGATGACGTCAGACAACAATTTATGTCTTTCCACACTTTTTGATATTTTGATCTGAACTGTTGCCGAAACTATTTCAATACTCACCTTCCAATTCTAGCACTTTTCTTGGATTCTCTGCTTCATATAATGCAGTTTGGAGTCTTATTACAGCGTGGTTCAGTATATGAGAGAAGAGAGCAAGGTTGAATGCAATGGCAGCTGTCACTTGTTTTGAACCTGGACAAAAGATCACAGTACTAGCTTACACAAGTAGGGGTTGACCCAGGATGAAGTAAAGGGGGAAAGTTCATTCAAAAACTAATCAGTATCTTATAGGCCAATGCTGAAGGAATAAACCCAAAAGTATATAGCAATTTCATACCAGAAAACTCAGGGGATTCAACCAATCTGAATCTGTCCTTTCTAATGCTGCCTAAAAATCTTGGTGCAATGTGTTCAGACTTAAAAAACCTCAAAAGGTAGCTTTAAAAGATAGTGTGGTAAGTCTTCAACTCATTTATTTGCACACTGGTGTTGCACTTGCATGCCCTGTATGTTCTTAGTGCCAAAAAGTGAAAGAACTTGCTCACAAACTTTAATGATACAATGATCCACAAATGTTACTTATATCTTATCTCATTTGATTTATATACCGCTACGTACTCTTTTTCTTTCACAGAACTATTATGCAATGATAAATTCATATTAACCTGTTTGCTGCAGTTGATAAATTGATATCATTGTCATGAGGACAATCTTGAAAACCAAATCATCAGACAGGTACTGGGGTTTCTCCACATACATGTCATCTGCCATGCTGCTCTGGGGTGTATAGAACATACACAGGTTGAAGTCCTGCAGGGTGTTCTGGCAGTATTCCTGGAGTTCCTTGGGATCACTAAAAGAATGTAAATATTACTTAGAATGACAAACTCAAAATTTTTCATGGCAAGTCATATTATTTTTATTAACAATGCACTTTAGTTCCCCCTACTTCTTTTTTTTTGCAAAACTATAATATTTTACATGGCTTCAATAGTAAAGGGTATTCTTTAACCAAAAGAACAGGCTCGTTTTGTAGGTCAACAGGATGACCATTGGCATATAAATTTGTGAAAATGCCAGGTAAATTAATGGCAATGTTTGTTTGTTTCTTTGTTTTCCTCCACAATCCTGTTACCAGCTGACCCTTACAATGACACATCTCCTGATACAACCGAATAATTTTGTCCTTACCTTTGAGTAACATTTTGCAAAGTGTCCAGCAAATGCATAAATCTCACTAAGCACCTTTTAATGGCCTTTAGTCTGAAACAACAATGTCACCTGTCACCATATTTCAAGGCCTCCTCATATACTGCTTCTAATATTTAAAAAAACAATTAAACACCATTTCTTTAATCTCAGCAAATATATGATGTTATCAATTAAGAAGGGAAACCAAGTCAATAGTTAAAACTACACATACAATCATCTCCCTTTGCTTGAAAAACAGTATTTCTATTGATAATGTCAAGTCAAAAGGGAAGCAAAAATTTTTTTATCAGCTATGAAAAAAAAAAAACTTAAACAAACAAAATTCACTTTAATTTTTTCTTTTATGTGGACAAACTCTTTTATCACATAGCACCTGTATGTGTATGGGTGTGCGTGTTGATGCATGTGGCAAGGGGAGGTGTGAGTAAGTGCTGGTGTGTATGTGTATGCATGTGCATGGGTGTTCATGCATGTGGCAAGGGGAGGTGCAAGTGCTGGTGTGTATGGACAGTGCTAGCACAGTTTATATGTTGACATAAGTACAGTAATATATTGTATTACCTCTGGTGCACAGGAGGTAAACCTCTTGGAGAGACTCTGATAACTTCTTGATATCTTTTCCTGTTTTTCTCAAACAACCTGTTCACATTGCTATGAGCACCTTCAAATGTGCTGGAGCACATCAGGCTGGAAAAAGAATTAATGGCAATACAGGCAAAATTTTTAATCTCCAGACTCACACTAGATAATATAAAGTTTATCCAAATGCCACATATAATTAATTTTGGAATGGAAACTCTGTCACTTGTTTGTTTCAAAACATCTCAAACATTTACTTTTTCAACTGATATAAGTAAACTGCTTTATGCAAAGTAAACTAAATGTCCTTTCCTCTCAAAAGCACCTTCTAAAGAAGTTTCTAGTTAGTTATTTTCATTCATTCAGTTCACTGTGCAATATGGGTCTGGACATAAAAATGATATCCTCACCATCTCAGGTAATGGTACCCTGCCACTATATTGCAGTAAGATGTCCCAGCCAGGGTGCCAAGTTGATTGTGAGGTACACCTGGACAAGTTCAAACACAAGAGTGAGTTCAAATTTAGATTTACTAATATGGTATGATACCAGATATGGTTTAACTAATATCATCAGGGCACCAAAGTTTATCCACTGCACCTCAGAATTAATATCCTACACCAGGAGGTCATCATTGGCTAACAACTGACCCATCAACATGCTTAAAGCATACCCCCTGACATACATGTTTTGGACAAGCAACAACAAAAAACATGGTAGATCACATAGCTGTTTTTTCTCTGACAATATTTTATAGGACATTCTTAATTTACATACTGTCATAATAACAAACACAACAAATGATAAGGGTTTGACTGATATGAAGTGTACAGGTTCCACATGCAGGGCAGTGTTTTGGTGACCCAGCACTGGTACTGTTTCCAAAACATCAAGTAATAACCCAAATTGCAACTGAAAAGTTAATTTTCATACCAGCTGTCTCCTACTAGCACTATTATCATTATTATTGTAAGTGCTGTCTGATTTGAATTGTTTTATACTTTCTATAAGACAAAAAGTTAAACTAAAACTTCTTCCTTAATGCTACAGAAGTCCAACAAACTAAATAAATGTGTCCTAATTCTTAAAATGTATCCATCTTTTCAAATCATTATTCTTCTTACCTATGTCAGGGAACATTGCAAGTGCCTGATAATAGTAGCGGCGAGATAATATCACACTTCGGTACCCATCAAACTCTTGTTGATAGCGAGCTGCAAGTTAAAAAATACAGAATACCTTCATAATTATTATATTAATACCTCTTAAATCCTTCCAAAGCTTATCTGCATAGTTTTAAGTTAAACCCACATAGTCAATTCAGAAAAACTTATTAACCAAATCTTGATTTCATTCAAGATCTTACCTGAATACATCACCATATTTGACTTTATACTGTTTTGACAAGTTACGTACCTATGTCCCCTAGATAAACCAGGCACCTATGGCAAGCTCTGGTAGCCCAAGTTTCAATCCTTTTTGTATCCTGGTCATTCTTTTTGCTTAGGGCATTTTTCTTGTCTGGAGAAAAATAAAGGCTCAATTTCCATTCATACAAATGACAATCGTGATGTGCATCTACACTTATTTGCTTTTTTTTTACTTTTCTTTCACATTTTTCATTTACTTAAAAAAAAAAGAAACAGGTATATCTTAGGGCCATTTACTCACATGATCTTGGTTCTGGCACATAATGAAAGTCTACAATTCCTTCCAACTTGAGACCAAACTCTACTTGTAGCCTGAACAGTAAGTGGTGATAGTAACCTGTTGCTGATGACAGATGGGTCCTAAATGCACTCTCTATAGCATTGCTCAAACGAGTAGTCTTTTGAATATGAAAAATAAAACCAAGATGATTTAGTTGTTTTGTGGCACAGCACACAGCAAAAACCATCATCTCGTTCTAAATCTAATGACTGGAAATAGCAATATTAATGAAGCACACCTGTTGTCTGCTTCATATAAAAATCAGTGATAATTCTGTACTATTTAGTGTCTTAAATTATTATTTTGTTGTTTGTTTGAAACATATGACTGTTTTAAATAAAGTGTCTTTCTGAAGAAACATCAATAACAATACAATTACAATTTCTTAATATAAAATGACCCACCCTTCTATTCTGTTTCATCAGCTGAATGATGTCATAATACACCTTCCTCCACAACAGTTCTTCTGCCTTCCTTCCATACTCTACTGGATCATAGAACATTAGCCGCTCACAGTAGTCCTTCAACCTATTTATGATCAAATATTAAGGGTAAAATTATTTTTATGCAGTAATTAAAATACAAAAGAATACATTTGCTGATTAAATCTGCTGCAAGACAAATGAAATTGGTTGTCATTATAATCTTATTATTTCAATCTAGAGCTAGTTTGTGGAGCCATTATTAGTTTAAAAATTGCTGCAGTAAAGTTTCTGGAAGATTGCACAGGCACTGCATTATTAGCGTAAAACTGTAAGGTTCCTGGGAAAGCGAAACAGAGATGTGACAAGAAGTTACCAGTTCAGAGGTTTTTATTGAACAAACTTTTCTCCCAAATAGGACCCCTCATTTCTCTGAGTTAATATAAAGCAGAAGATGATGATTTTTCAGCACAACTCCTATATGCATTACCTATTTCGTAAGCCAATAGCTTCAGGTAGGAATACATCCCTGTATGCCTTCTTTTGCTTGATGATGTCATCTAGGCGACGGATAATATCAAGAGCTGCTCTGAAATAAATATAATAAAAAGAAGTTAAAATCCTAAATTTTAGTCAAAGGACCATTAGGCAGTTCAGCCCCTGTTTTGTGACAAGATTTAATTAAATGTTTTGTTTAAATCATAAAGAAAATAATAACTTGTACCACAAGACAAATTCTCTTTTTGAATTATGCCAACTGGTGAATGTATATTAAGAAACTTTTTTCTAGAGTCCGAATTGGAAAAAAAGGGATGACTTAAGCTCAATATATATAATTGGACAAACACTGCCCGGTGTGATGTGCAGAGGTACAGTAAGTACCAACTGCTAATGTATAAACCATGACTTCCAGGACGATTCAGTACCTGTAAACACGCTTAGCTTTGTCCGATTCCAGCTTTTCCGCAGGCTTGGTAACAATTCCTGACACTTTCTTCATTGTAAAACATACTTTTATTTGCTCATGTCTCCCTTAAATCAAATTACTTTCCCCATCAAATGGGTAAAACATTGAATGTATTCAGCGATCATCACACAAGTCTTTCGAGTCCTCCATTTCTGCCCTACCACGTGACTTAAACGAGATTTGAAAATTATTTGCATTAAACATTTAAAAAATAGTCATATAGGACATTTCATTATCTCTTACTGAGATAATTATTACAGATATTGCGCTTGTGCACTAATTCGTGCCCCTTAAATGCATTGATGATGCAAATTTTGTGTTCTACTAAACGTGATTTTCTATGGGTCTTCTGTTGTAAGAGATCTGAAAATGAGTTGACAGACTGAGGTCAGGGCTGGTCAAAGGACATATAGAGTTTACCGCTTCATTAGCAACAGTGCTGTCATTTGGGCTTTTGTCATGTGAAGAGGTGCAACTCAAACACAGGATTGCACGTAAGGTAGAAGCTGACCCATTGATACAGTCAATATGTCGGAGTGGCAATGGCAATGGTGGAAAGAAGAAACGTCAACGTTAAACCAGACAAAAAGAGCAGACGACTTTCGCGCGTTGCAGGGACTATGGGACTTAATTCGTATTGGACATGAGGATTACCTGAGATCACCACTTTTTCCAGTTGTCATGTCGGTGGCTTTCTACTTTACGTGCATGGTGCCATTCACCATCTTTGATCTTTGGGGCAAAAATTGGAACTGGATCCACAAGTACAAGATCCAACCAGAGAAAAATGTGACCTGGCCGGCCTGCCGCAATGCCATCTTGGTGATTTTGTGGAATCACTGTGTGTACATACTCCCAGCCGCTATTGGTCAAGCCATATGGACTCCACCGACTCCCTTACCGCCTGTGGCACCCACAATGACAGAGTTTGTACTTGAACAGGTCGTTATGCTGCTTATCTTTGATTTCCAGTATTTTGTCTGGCACTACACACACCATCGAGTGAAGTTTCTTTACAAGCATGTGCACTCCATTCATCATCAGTACTACAGTCCATTCTGTTGGGTAACACAATATCTGAGCCCCTTAGAGCTGATCACTGTGGGGACGTACACAACCGTTCTACCATGGGTTTTTAACTGTCATGTTTTCACCACTTGGAGCTTCATGATAGTGAATATCATCATCAGCGTTGAAGCTCACATTGGATACGACTTCCCATTTGCCCTGCATAACTGGGACCCAACTGGCATTATTGGCGGTGCCCCTAAGCATGACATGCACCATATGAAACCACAGACCAATTTTGCTCCTTTTTTCAACCATTTTGACAAGGCCATGGGGACTTTCTGGCCAGGACTGCAGGCAGGGGGGATCAAGAATAAGAAATACATTGAATTTGAAAATAACAAGAAAATGGAAAAGGCTAAGAAGAAATACTAAGACTTTGACATATTCACAAAAATTGACTTTGGTTTGCATTATGATGAACAAAACTGAACAAATGAAAACAAAATTAGACTATTTTCAACATGGTTAGATAATAGTAAAATTATTTCTGTTCATTTTATCTAATCAGAATGTAGTCAATAGTGCCATGGGGATGAATTTTGAACAGATGTATGAAAAGATATGCTGCTTGTTTTTGAGGCATGATGGCTGCAGATTTTATTAATTGGGTTCATATCCCAAGAATAAATTGAATGCCTGACCTCAAAAATTGTAGTTTGGGTTTCTAAATTTTTCATATTTTCATTGCCTTCATGTAACAACATTTTGAAGCAACATTTGTAGTATTTTACATTTTACAGAAATCGTCATTCCTTTTACACAGTGTGTGATATTTTTTCTTATATTTTACTTGTAGCTGTATGGAAATTTGGTGATGTTTTCATTAAACATATATTATAATAATGTTGATAATTTCGATTTATACCGATTAACGATGATTTTTTCAACAGCAAAAAAGCAGATAATGTATGTGTCAATTTTTAGACATTTTCTGTATTCACTCCACCAGCCTTATCTGATATGTCTATGCTGGCTCATTTGTATGTTAAGTTTCAATTCATGTTTTTAAGTTTTCCCATTTCTTGAAAACATGTACCTCTATGATAGTAATTTCAGGAATTGTATGTAATTATTATATTTGAAGGAAATCATTGACTTTTGAACAAATAATTTTTTGTCATATATAACACAGTTGTGTCAATGTTTTACACAATGCTTGTTGGGTGGAAATGTTTACTGATGTCTTTGAAAAACTTTTAAGTATATTTCAAATTTAGCTTCAGGGTGGCTTATTTGATTGCAGATTACTAATACCTACATTCATTCCATATGACTTTTTATCTTTAAGTCCTACTATGCAAATATCAATAATGATGATAAGACAGTATGACTTTTGGCTTTTGTTTTTTGTCTCTAACACCCCCCTCCCAAAAAAAAAAAAAAAAAAAAAGTTGGAGAGATGCTTACATAATTAAAGATGTACTACATGAATCAGCATTTGAAAATGTCCCAAACTTATGTTTTCTTTGCTAACATATCCTTCAAATATACTTATCTTTTCCTATACAGACCTTAAAAATGATAAAACCCCTTAAATAAAAATGCCCAACGTTGATATTTCCTTTTGAAATGTATCAAAAGGCATGGTGGTCTGAGTGATTGCCCAGTTATTTAAAACTATAATAAATAAAGTAATTTATCTAGAAATCTAAAAGGAAATTGTGTAAATATCTGATTAAAAGGGACAGGTCTAGCAATGATTCACAAGTTGAAAAATTAATTTCCATTTTCAAGGAAAATTAAATTTGGCTGAAAATCCTTGGATAGGATACTTAGCATTTTGATTACATTGATTGTTAGAATGTTCGCGTATTAGCAGTAAACATTCAGTGAAGCTGAGCTAGGTCAATCGTACTGTCATGCAGACACTGAGTGATCAAAATTTGACCTCTGTCCAAAGAATGCAAATGAAGATAACCATTTCAATTCAATTTAAAAATCATGCACTGATATATGTAGCAGTTAGAAAAGTTAATCATCATCATCATCATCAGCAGCAGCATCAAAGATTTTTGGCATACTCCATGGACCAAGCCCCTCCACTTCTTTCTATCTACTGTCGTCCTCGTGACCTCTATTAAACTTTTTCTTGTCCAATTTTGTATGTTGGTCTTCCATCCAAACCCCGGCCTGCCATGTTTTCATTTTTTTGGGGGACACTTTAAAATGTTGATGTGAACAACTTTGTTTTTTCCAGTTGGAGCTGGTGGCCCAGAAAAATAAGCTTCTTTTCCTTGAACTTGTTCAATAATTCCTGGTTAAGTCAGAGTTCCTCAAGAGTGCAGTCTTTCGTTTTTTTTTCCCACCATGAGATGCATTACATTCTTTGATAAATCCACATTTCAGCTGCATCTGTTTTTCCTTCTCTTTTTTGATTACCCATCCTTTGCACCTGTACATGAGCACTGGCCATATCAAGGTCTTCATTAATTTCACCTTTAACACTGTTGGGATACTTCTGTCCTTCCAGATATTGACCAGTTCATTTGCTTTGGCCTTCACCATTCCGATTCTCATTTGACATCTTTTGTTGAGTTTCCATCCACCGATTTTACCGAAACCAAATACTTGAAATGTTCAACTTCTTCAACTCTCATAGAAAAGCTACAAAAAAAAAAAAAAAAAAAAAAAAA